AATTTTTATTTTATGTGCAGTGGTGTTTTGCCTGCATGTATGTCTGTATGAGGATGTCAGATCTTGGAGTTACAGACCATTGTGAGCTGTCATGTGGGTGCTGGGAATTGAACCCAGGTCCTCTGGAAGAGCAGTCAGTGCTCTTAACTGCTGAACCATCTTTCAAGGCCCATGTGATATGTTTCTTGTTCTGATTTGAGAGGAGTTACTTGTCATTGTGTGGTGGTGGAGGGGGCATGTGACGGTCACAGTGCAGGTATGAAGGCCAGGGGAAAGCTCTGTGGAGCATGCTCACTCCTCCCACTTTATGTGGGGCCCAAGGGATTGAACCCAGGTCGTCTGACTTGTGCACTAAGAATCTTTCTCTGCTGAGCCATCGCACTGGCCCTCCTTCTGGTTATAAGACATGGTGGCTGAAGCCTATAATCATAACGCTTGGGAGGCTGGGACTGAAGGATCTGCAGTTTCCAGGCCAGTCTGCTTTACATAGTTAATTCTAGGCTAATATGAGAGCCTGTCTCTCAACAGAGAAAAACAAAGAATAAAACAGAATGCAAATATTATCTATAAGATCACGCGACACCTAAGAGCTGCAATGTGCACAGAGTAAATAAAGTCTAATTTGAGTCATGGGTTTTTTACCTTTTCTTCTGTACTACAACCACTGTTGTCTTTGATGATTCCCATTGAGCTAGCTTCAGTTACCCTTCTTCTTTTTATTCAAACGAGGGCATTTGCTCCCACATTTCCCCACCCTTACTATTGAAGGCTAGCCATCTATCAGAATGACATGCTGGGGACTCTGGAGCACACAAGTCTAAACTCATTAGTGGCTGTGTTCCACAACATCTCTAAATTACTTGTCTGGAACCTGGAATTTATTTTCCCATGGAAATCCTGATTACATTCCCAGCGGGTCTACAGAAGTGTGTTTGGCCAGGAATGCCACTGGAATGAACACTGTCACTTTCCTGCTAACCCCTGCTTATTATCCTGAGGTCTCTAGGGATTTCTCTCTTTACTACAACATTTTAACTAACCATCACTTTGGGACACTCTTTTCTCGTTATAAATTACAGAAAAGGTTGGCTATCATTGCAATTCTACCTAGACCCAATCTTTAATCTTGCTTTGAACTTTTTTTTTTTTTTTAAACTAATGATCACTAATGATGTCATTTGTGGTAGAGAAGTATTTTCCTGTCCCCACTGTCTACAGCTGAGGCTACATTGCCACATTCTCTGCCTATAGCTTGAAGAGGGCGCAAAGTCCTGGTCTGTCTTCAGTCACTGACTGACTAGTTCTTGAAGGGTGTCATTTGGGTTTTGAGGGGACAAGACCAACAAAACAAACAGTCCCCTCCCTTCAAACCCTCAAATGCCTTTCTTGATTTTTTAGCATAAAATCGTTAACAGTTCTCAGGTCTGAGAACCTGAGACCTGAGAACCACTCAGGTTTGAGTGGTCCTGGATAAAGTGTTAGAATTTAAGCCGGGCAGCGGTGGTACATGTCTTTAATCCCAGCACTTAGCAGGCAGATCTCTGTGAGTTTGAAGCCTGCCTAACCTACAAAGTGAGTTCCAGGATAGCCAGAGCTACACAGAGAAACCTGTCTCAAAAAAACCAAAACAAGAAAGCAGAATTTAGATTATCTAGTTAATGCTTATGTGTATTTTGATCATACTTGAATGGGATGTGTGTGTGTGTGTGTGTGTGTGTGTGTGTGTGTGTGTGTGTGTGTGTATGAATGATATAGAGACAGGGTTTTTTTTGTTTGTTTGTTTGTTTTTTTTTTTGTAGCTTTGGAGGCTGTCCTGGAACTAGCTCAGTAGATGAAGTTGGCGTCGAATTCTTCCTGGGTGCTGGGATCAAAGGCGTGTGCCACCAATGCCTGGCTGTATTTTTTGTTATTGTTTTTACAGAAATTTCACATTGAAATAACCTAAAGCTATCTGTTCTATACAATGTTTAGCTGAGACATATTCTTTTTTCCCCCCCAATTACTCTTCATTGAATATATTTTTGTGATTTTCTTTTTTTTTTTTAATGAGACAGTTTCTTGCAAGACCCAGTAACCATAATAAAACCCAATCTTTGTTTTAGTTAGAAATACTATCAATGACTGTTTCTAAAAAAAGGAAAAAGTCTATGCTCACCTTAATGTAAAACCCAGGCGCAGTGGATATTGAGAGATACAACCCAACAAGTGCAGTCACAGCAAGGCAGCTACCACATAGACCTGTACTTAGCGAGGACTCCGGTCTGTGTGGCGACCCACAGCAACGGGTGGCTGGCTCAGACTGAGCTGCTCAGCCTCTGCAGGAATGGGAACACTGTGCTGTAAGATACGCTCATTCATCCATTCAAGCAAGGGCTCTGGAAACGTCCATCCTCCTGCCTCCTACCACTGAAGCATTAGCTACCAGGCCTGTGTTTGGCATGGAGTTAAATAGGCTGAATGTGTAGACATCCATGATCCCAGTACTTCAAAGGTGAAGAGAGGAGAAACAGCTATAGAGAGCTTGAGGCTAGCCTACATGAGACCCTACCTCACTCAAAACAACAACAACAAAAAACAAAAACAACAACCAAAAAAAAAAAAAAAAAAAATTCCAAACGACCCACAAAACAAGCTCCCTCCAAAACAAACAAAAGTCTGAGTGAACTTGAATAACAATGTCTATTTAGTCAGTGGTTTCTTTCCTTAAAGAATAAAGAGTCAGTGATTCAGCAACCACTGGCCATGAGAGGTGTGGCTTCCTTACTCAGAGGCAAATTCTGATACATTAAGCACACATGAATCTGTTAGTTTAAATCTATAATCTGTAAGTGAGATTTTTAAAAATTAATTTTCAATAAGCGCATATACAATAATAGGTATTCTTATATTTCTATACATATACATCACTGTATAAAGGAGAATTTTCAAGGACAGGATAGCATTCAACTTTTATGAAACTAAAATAACTAGTAGCGAAAGGTAGATCCAGCAAGGCTACTTTGGGCCACATAGGGAGTTCAAGGCTAGCCTGGTCTACAGAGTGAGTTCCAGACCAGCCAGGGTAACACAGTAGGACAGTCTCAAACTAAACCAAACCAGAACAGTGACTAAAACACCACATACATTGAAGTGTCTAGCCAGGTGGTGATGATGCATACAGATCCCAGCACTCTGGAGGCAGAGGCTGGTGGATCTCTGAGTTTGAGACCAGCCTGTTCTACAGAGTGAGTTCCAAGACTGCCAGGAATACACAGAGAAACCCCTTCTCAGAAAACCAATGAAATAAAATAAATAAGTAAAAATGTAATGTCTAGAAAGATTCCCAAGGTCTATTAAGTGCTTAGCAATATCAGCTAAATTTGAGTAGAGGATTTCAACTGGGGAAAAAATGGGGGCTCTGAAATTGTTATTAATTATATTAGCACTCACAGTTCCTAGACTTTGGAATGATTTTAACTGTCAACCTAAACAAATCCTGGGCTGGTAAGGTAGCTCACTAGCTGCCAAACCTGATGATTTGTGTATTTTGATCATACTTGAATGGGACATGTGATTTGAGTTTGACCTGAGACTCACACAAGTTGCCCTCTGACCTCCATGTGTGGTACCTAAGTGCCTCTCCACACTCTAGATGGAACAAACCTTCAGAATTAAACTCTCCAATAGTAAATTTAGTGGGCTTCTTCTTGGTTGAACTGTATGCCCCCGTTGGCTCCCTGGGATGATAGGGTAAACATGGGTTACCACAATGTACAAGTAACATCTGGGACACAGAAAAGCAATGCAATCCGAAAGACATGCACCACTGGCGGCTGCTGTCATAGAAACAAGTGTCTTCAGTGACAAGAGGGGTGGCTGAATAAGGAGAGCTTGATGAAAAGGCTGCTTCAGCTCTTGAAACACCAAGACCATGTCTATATAAAGTTAAGGCACTCATATGGCAAAACATTGTCGGCAAACATGCTTTCCAACTCCACTGGTGGCCTGGGTCATGGGAACTTACTCTCTTGTAATGACCACTGTGCTTTATGGCCACGTGTTAAAAGACAAATACCAGGGCTGGATGGTGTGGTGTTTGACTAATACTAGCATTTGAGAGACAGAAGAATGACTGTTAGCCTGAACTATATATTAAGTTCAGGGCCAGCTTGGGTTATATAGCAAGATCCTATTTCAAAACAAATAAACCAAAGCAAAACAAACAGCAAAACTGTAAACATAACACAACTTCACAAGTAAGGTTCTCTAGGTGTGAGGAACTGGTTAATTTTAATGCCTGTAGTTTTTCCAACGAAAGGAGGAGGTATTATATGCAAATTTAGATAATAAAGTTCCAGAGAAAAATAGTATCTGAATTTATCTTAAAGTTTTAACTCAGAAATAGGAATTCTAAACTGGAGCTATCAGTTACTCCTAAATGATTTTGTAATGGATTTTGAATGGAAATTCCTCCATACAAAAAGCCTGGCCATTTCTAACTGTGCTGCCATGCGTCTGCAAGGAATTATCCGCTATGGCTCTGCTGGAGTTAAAGCCAGTGGGCAGCACCCTGCTGTCACGTCCACGCCCAGAACAGTTTAACTTTCATCCTGAGTAGGTGCTAAAGTTTGCTCTTTAAAAAAGAAAAAGAAAAAAGGAAGAGCACTGGCTGCGCTTCCAGAGGGCCCAGGTTCAATTCCCAGCACCAACATGGCAGCTCACAACTGTCTGTCACTCCAGTTCCAGTGAATACGACACCCTCACACACACATACATGTAATGAAGTAAGAGTAAATGAATAATTTTTTAAAAAGTACGTTCACGACATCCTTGCAGTGTATGAAGTTACTCAATAGGCTAGAACCACATAGGAAGTTCTGAACATTTCAACACTAGGAAAAATAAACACAGCCCTCAATTCTGTGTTCCGAGCAGGCAGAACTATATGTAATGCACCAAAGACCTGAACATTAAATTATTGATACAAATTGAAAGAAAAATAACACAAATGAGATCTTAGATGTAATTCTTAATAAACTATTTCACTGAAAGAAAATCCAAAGCATCTTTCAATCTACTGGTATGGTAACAAGAGTCATCTTTCTTCCTGGGCAGACAGACCATCACAGGCTTGGTCTGCTGTAAGGAGATTTTATTTGCACGGTGCTTTTATTTGCACTGTGAAAAACAAACAGCTGTATTATGCCTTTCTGGACAGCCAATAGGCTTCACTTATATTGCTTTGAGAGAAAACAAAAGACATCTCTTTAGAATTGACTTGTAGCATCCTCAGTTTCCTGGATACCAAAACCACAAACTCTTAGCTGTAACCCATGAAAACATAAGCACGCATACACACAATCTAAACAGGCAATAAAGTAAACACAATAAAGTGACCTTACATCTCTGAGGTGCCAATTTACAAGACTGACCACCAGAGACAGAGTTTGGACCTGCCATAGAGAAAAATCATTATTAGCCTGAAAGAAATAAACTAAGCTACCACTGTTACCATCATGGAAAAAAAGCTAAAATGGAAAACAATAATATCGTAAAACCTGTGTCTTGTAAAGATTTCTTTCCATCAGAAGGTGCAGAAACATTGCTGCCCCCCACGGAGCAAAGGAACTCGTTTCTGATTTCTTCCCTGCTTTTCAGACCCCTAGGCGCCGGTGTAGACCGCGAGTGTGGACTTTTTCCAGAGACGAGAGGTAGAAATTTGTACTTTATCCGGAGCCGGTGCACTTTTCCCCTTGGCCCCTCTTTTCTCTGCCTCCAAGATGGTAGGAAAGTTGTCGTTTCGGAGAGCGGAGGAACTGCTCTACGTGTTATGTCCTCGCAGTGCCTGTAGTGGTGCTGTAGGAGGCTGCTGCCTCTTCCAGTGCAGGCGGGCAGCCCTGCCTTCTTGGCTGGAGAGTACATTCAGGGATTTCCCCTTAATGATCACCGACCCTGGGAACACTTTTTAGTTTCCAAAATAAAAATATGATCCTCACCCCTCTTGCTCGACAGGGAAAGATTCTCGCTGAAGCCCAGGGCGGGAGCAATATCAGCCGAGCTTCCTAGTCCACTGCCAGCGCCTCTCTGATCTGTCAGCCCAGTCGAGGGAAAAGGGAGGGGGGGGAGGAAGGAGGAGGGAAAAAAAAAAAAAAAAAAAAAAAAAAAAAAAAAAAAAAAAAAAAAGGCAGCTGAAAGGTAAGCAGAGGCGGCCCCAGGCCCGGCCCACATCCCCGGGCTCCCGTAGGGCGGCGGGCTGGGCCGCGCAGGCAGGGCGGGCGGCGAGCGCGCTTACGTGAGGCCGGGGATCCGCCGGCCCACGCCAGGCCGCGGGCGGAGAATGAAAGGGTGAGTGGGGCCGGCGCTGGGGTGGCGGGGGCTGGGGGACTGGGGGCCTCGGGGACGCCCGCAGGCAGCTACGGCGGGGGTTACGGCGGCGGACTGAGAGCGGCGAGTGGCGCGGCCCGCGCAGGCCGGGCCTGGGGAGTGCTGCGGAAGGGGGGCGCCCTAGGCCTTGGGCCCCGCGGCGGCCGCGCCCTGCCCCCGCGCCTCAGGCCTCCCGCGCCCCTGGGGTCCCCCGGGGCCTCGGGGCGGGCGGGCGGGCGAGCGGCGGGGCGGGCTGCATCCTGCGCCGGCCCCAGGCTCTCCCGCGGGGCGGAAGGCCGGGCGGCGGGGACCGGGGCGGCGGGGCCTTGGAGTGGAGAGTGTGCGGCAGCCCCCCGTCCCCGGGCATCGCGTACACAGACGGGCCCGGGATTCCGGTAACTGTTGGGTTTATTTATCCCCCTCCGCGGCGCTCCGGACGGCCTGGCCGGGGCGGGGCGGGAGGCCTGGCGGGCGTGGGGTGGAGGGGCGGCGAGAAGTCAGGTGCAGCCGCGGCCCGGAAAGTTTCCTTTTAGGCCCGAATTGGGGGTTGCCTTCTCTCCGGGGAGCCCCGGTCCTAGCGCCGGGGACCCCCCGAGGGCGTGGGGGAGAGCGCTCGGCTGGCTTGAAACTCTTTGCCAGTTCCTGTCCATTCAAGGTACTCCGCCCCTGCACCCCTCGCCCGCGCCCCACCCCACTCCCCTCGATCCCCTCCGGGGCTGCCAACTCCAGCCCATTCCCCAAGAGCGCCCAGGCCCGGGGAGAAGCCTTCTCTTCCGGTTTGGAAAAGTTTTCAAGGGATTTTTTTTTTTTTTTTTTTCTTAGCGATATTAGTTAGTGCCTGGGCTCTGGGGGGTGGGAAGGGAGGAGGTCGATTCAGGTGCTGTTTCTCCTGCACAGCCTTTGCCCGTCGCCCTCCCCCCCTTTAATCCCGGACCCCACGGAGCCGCGGTGGGGGTGCTCCTGGCTCACTTATTACCCCCACCTTGGCTCCCGAACTCCTTTGGGTCTCCGGTCCCCTTTCTGGACAGCTCCGGGCAGAAAGATAGTAAGTGGGAAGCAGGAGAGCGAACTGTCAGGGAGAGGGGCAGGACAGGCAGGCTTCGGGAGCAGTCCCTAGCCCCCCAGGTGTAGGACTTTTCCCCTCCGGTTTGGTCACTGTCCGGTGAAAGCAACTCAGAGACTGAAGCCAACGGGGGTGAGGGGGGGCACCGCGGCTGACAGGCGTTGCAGAGAATTCAAAATTGGGAGGAAGGAACTGGAGGGCAGGGCGGCTTTTGAAGTAAGGTCTACCTGCAGTTTTAGGAGCGATGATTGGTTTGTTCTGATGGTAACTGCTTAGCTCTGTGTGATGTCCTTAGGTGTCTGTCTAGAATTAGAAAAATGGGGGTCTTAAGGACAGTTAAAGTTGGGATTGCTGCAGCTCAGGGTGTGGAGGAGCCCGGTGTATTTAACATAGACTCTGGCTTTGGCCTACCCTACAAGCGAACTCGGTTTTGGTGCCATCAACTCTGAAACTTTTTTCTCTTCTTTTTTTTTTTTTTTTTTTCATGTAGTAAACTCGAATTTCCAAATCTAGATTTCCTTCTTCTCAGGGACAGGCTGGGCTACAACTGACCACCTCCTGGTTGTTGTTTAGTGTTGGAATTGCAATGTCCATGGCCCTGCCACCTCCAGCCCTACATGTGTGTAGAGTTCATTTAACCTATTTTATTAGTTCTTTTTTTCCACTCACTCTTCACAGAGTTTGGGTCAGCGTGCATGCGTGTGTGTGTGTGTGTGTGTGTGTGTGTGTGTGTGTGGTGTGGTGTGGTGTGGTGTGTGGTATGTTTGCCTGGCCTGCCTGCCTGCCTGCCTGCCTGTGCCCGCCTGTGCCCGCGCACTCTGCTTGGTTGCAGGTTGGAGGTTGCTGGCAGAGGCAGTCCTGTTCTGATCACTCAGCCCACAGAGCAGTGGTGTGAAGAACGGCCTGTCAATTGCTCAGGGTAATCCCTGACTTGGTCAGCCCTGGCTTCTGTCAGGCACCACAGTGAGGCTCCTTCCCTGATTCTTACCAAGATCCTTTGCTTTTGTCTGGCTAAAACAGCTGTTTTCTCACAGTGCTAGGTGCCCAGCCATTTAGACTTGTGTCTAAGAAAGTCTTGGTATTTGAAGATGGTATGGATTTGGAATCAAAATGCAAATTATATGTAGTGGTTGTTTTATCATTATTGATTAATTGGAATTGCTTATTGACTAGGGCGTTTCTTGTATGTGTGGAGCAAAATCATTATTCCTGTTAATGGCCCTTATTTTTTTTAGAGCAAACTGTATAGAAGAAAACTCATTCTGGGATATTTTAAACATTGAGAGAATTCTTGTTATTTTGTAATATGTTGTTTTGTTTGTTTTCTGTGTTTTCAAGACAGGGTTTCTCTGTGTAGCCCTGGCTGTCCTGGAACTCACTCTGTAGACCAGGTTGGCCTCAAACTCAGAGATCCATGTATTTAGTGCTTATCATCAGCTTTATATTCTTAATTTTAAAAACTGTACAAATACTGAAAGTTTGTGTTTTCTTTTCCACCATCCTGGCCCAAACATTTTAATTCCTTGTTGTAACCCACTAATAGGCTATTTTATTCCTGAGGAAATGGTAGATTTGATGTTTTAAGAGTTAATTTTATTTCCAGCTAATAAGAGACTTTCTGGGAACATACTGAATTGTTTTAAATGGAAAGGGACTGTCTTTTTCACTATGAGTTGTTTTGCTTAAAAAGATGTTTAATTTGTATGTCTGAAATGATCAACTTTTTTTTTTTTTCTCTGAAAGGTTTTATAAAGAAGTTTGTATCTCCCATCTCTATTGTGTTTTTTCTTCCCAGGAAGTCATATTCCTGCTAATTTTTAAAATTTTATTTTATTTTTTGTGTTATGGGTGTTTTGCCTGTAGGTGTGTCTGTGCACCATGTGGATGTTGGGCCTGAGGAGGCCAGAAGGGGGTGTCAGATCCCTTGGAGCTGGAGTTCTAGATGATTACTCGGCACCACATGGGTGCTGGGGATGAACCCTGGGTCCTCCAACAGAGCAGCCTGTGCTCTTGCCTACTGAGCCTTCATTCTGGCTCCCGTTGCTGCTAATTTTAGAGGCCTGGAAATTTTAATTTAGGCAGACAGTTTGAAGTCTGAGAACTTAAACCAAACCTGTTAGTTCAATCAGACACTTTTCCTTTCCTTTCGCTAAGATCTTCTCGGTTAGCTCTCGGTATCTCAGTTTGGAAATGGGTTTATGGTCTGGAAAGCCTGGCTGTTTGTGTCTGAAGACAGCTTCCTTCCACACCTGATCCTTTGAGGAGTGGTGGGTGAGACTGGTTCAGGGCTGCTCTGGAGGTACCGTAGGGTGAAGACAGCTGAGTGCTCACTGCCTCTGCTGTGAGCCTATCCCAGAGGCCGGGTAAAGTTTTGACAGTGCTCTTGGTCATTTTGAGATTTGGGAGAAACTTAGGTTAAAATGTGAGGCCTTGCTTGCTGTTGGTGGTGCATGCCTTTAATTCAAGGCTCCAGAGGCAGAGGCAGGCAGATCTCTGTGAGTTCCAGGACAGGCTCTAAAACAATGCAGAGAGACCTTGTCTGGAAAAGCAAAAAAACAAACAAACAAACAAACAAAAATGTTAGGCGTCCTGCATTTTCTTCCCCGATTAAGTTCGGAAGACCACTTGGTTCTAACTCTCTCAGTGTGGTTTACCTTGTTCATTCATATTTATTTTGGAGCCTGGGACTCACTACTTAGATTAGGCTGGCCATTGCCTCACAGTGATCTTCCTGCATGTAAGTGCTGGCCTTAGGGATGTGGGCTATCATCCCAGCTGTAATTTACTCTTAAAACTAATTCTTAGCCAGGGATGGTAGTGGATGCCTGTATTCCAGGACCAAAGGATCTCAATTTCAAGGCCAGCCTGGCTATATAGTAAACCCCCCCCCCCCATTCCTGTCAGTAAAACCTACCACTTTTTGTGCTGAGATCTCTGTATCATGTTGTCATCCAGTTATATATACATGGTTGGGCTGGCTTGGGGTTGTGGCCTCCTTTGATTCCATTTCTTCTTAACCTTTGATTTCTTTCACAGGACAGAGAAGACAAATTCTTTGCTATAAGTAAGGATTAGATGTTTCTTCTAGCCTACCCTGTGTCCTTTAGTAATGCCATCTAAGTAACATCTTGTTTGCTTTTTTCTTACTAAAAATAATACATACTCATACTATATTTGGAGAATATACCTATCTATCCCACTCAGGAAGATAACTTTTTATTGCCTTTCTGTTTTTTTCTGAATGTGCCTACAGCATAAGCATGAGTTTGAGAACCCTGAAGGTAACACTTGTGTACTTTTGTAGTGGTTAAAAGTTTGGGCTTTACTGGTAGTGCACACCTTTAATTCCAGCACTCTGGGAGGTGGAGGCAGGTGGATCGCAATGAGTTCAAGGCCAGCATGGTGTACAGAGCTAGTTCCAGAACAGGCTCCAAAGCAATATAGAGAAACCCTGAATCCCCCCACCCAAAAAAAGTTTGGGCTTTAGAGTCAAATTGGTCTTTAATACTAGGGATTTTACACCTTACAATTAAAATTAATCTTTTGTTTATGTTTGTGTGTGTTTGTGTTTATGCCACAGCATGCATGTGGGGGTCAGAGGACAACTTGCAGGAGTCAAGTAGGGGTCCAGTTTTCTGATTCCACTGAGTGGGTCCCAGGGATTGAACTCAGACTGCCAGGGTTGGCATCAGGTGCTTTTACCTTGGCATCCCCTAAAACGAATTCAAAATAAAGTCTAAGTCGGGAAATAGTGGCACACACTTTTAATCTTAGGGAGGCAGAGGCAGGTGGATCTCTGCATTTGAAGCCAGCCTGGTCTACAGAGTGAGTTCTAGGACTCCATGGGAGGAGGGACCTTTTAAAATAATAAAATAATAACAACTATTCTTTTAGAAGGCAGGCTGAAGAGACAGCATTGGCTGCTCTTCCATAAACTCAAGTTTCCTCCCCAGCACCCACATTGGGTAGCTCACA